TTTTTTCAAGTTGCTTGCACATTTCACAGTCCCACCAGCAGTGTATGAGGGTTCTAGTTTCTCCACATCCTTGTCAACACTTGTTATTGTCTGTCTTTTTGATTGTAGCCACCCTAATGGGTATGGAGTGGTATCTCATTGTGGTTTTGATTTGCATTTCCTTAATAATTCGTTATGTTGAGCATCTTTCATGTGCTTGTTGGCCATTGGCATATGTTCTTTGAAGAAATGTCTGTTTAAATCCTTTGCCCATTTAAAAACTGGATTATTTGTCTTTTTGTACTTGAGTCGTTAGACTTCTTCACAAGTTCGGGATACTAGCCCCTTATTAAGTATATATGACTTGCAAATATGTTCTCCCATTCTGTCTTTTTACTTTCTTTATGTCATTTGAAGTACAAGTTTTCAGTTTTAATGAAGTGTAATTTATTTGTATTTTATCTCTTATGTTTTTGGTGTTGGATCCGAGAAGGTTTTGCTTAACCCAAGGTCACAAAGATATAATCTTGCGTTTTCTTCTGGGAGTTGTATTGTTTTAGCTCTCACATTTAGGTTTCTGATCAACTTTGAGCTAATTCCTGCATGTGGTGTACACATGTGGATATCTGGTTGTTCAGGCACCATTTGTTGAAAAGATTATTCTTTTCCTACTGAATTATCTTGGCACCTTGTTGAAAATCAATTGACCGTAAGTGTGTAAGTTTATTTCTGGACTCTAAACTGTGTTCTGTTGATTTATATGTCTGTCCATATGCCAGTACCACACTGTCTTGATTGCTTTTGTAAATTTTAAAATTTGGAAGTGTGAGTCCTCAAACTTTATTCTTCTTTTCAAGATAGTTTTGGCTGTCTGGGGATATTTGTATTTCTGTATGAATTTCAGTATCAGCTTGTTGATTTCTGCAAAAAGTCAACTGCAATTTTGACAGAGATTGCATTGACTCTGTAGCTCAGTTTAGGAAGTTTTACATGTTAACTATTAAGTCATACAAACCATGAACATGGGCTGTTTTTCCATTTATTTAGATCTTAATTTCTATCTGCAATGCTTTATAGTTTTCAGAGTATAAGTTTTGTTCTTTAGTTATTTCTAACTGTTCTGTTCTTTTTGATGCTATTATAAATTGTTTTCTTAATTTCATTTATGAGTTGTTTGTTACAAGTGTATAGATATACAGTTGATTTTTCTATATTGATCTTGTAACCTGCAACCTTGCTGAATTCATTTATTAGTTCTAATAGCTTAAGTGGATTCCTTAGGACTTTATATGAGATCATATTGTCTGTCAGTAGAGAAGTTTTATTTCTTCCTTTCAATCTGAATGCCTTTTTTTTTCTTGCCTTATTGCCCTGGTTACAGCTTCTAGTACAATGTTCAACAGAAGTGATAAAAGAGAACATTCTTGTCTAGTTCCTTATCTTAGGAGGAAGGCATCCAGTCATTCACCATTAAGTAAGATGTTAGCTCTGGGTTTTCCATAGGTGTATGGTCTTTGAGGAAGTTCCCTTCTATTCCTAGTTTGCTGAGGTTTTTTTTTTTTTAATTTTATCATGAACGAGTGTAGGATTTTGTGAAATGCTTTTCCTGCATTGTCTTAGTCCATCTGGGCTGCGATAACAAAATATCACAGAGTGGGTAGTTTATAAACAATAGATATTAATTTCTCATAGTTCTGGAGACTTGAAGTCCAAGATCATGGTGCCAACAGGTTTGGTGTGGTGGCTGGTGAGGGCTCTCTTTCTGATTTGTAGCAGGTGCCTTCTCATTGAAGGCAGAAGAGGGTTAGCAAGCTCTCTGGGGCCTCTTTTATAAGGCACTAATTCCATTCGTGAGGGCACAGCCACCCCCATGCCCAAAGGCTCCACTTCCTAATATCATCATCTTTGGAGATTAGGATTTCAGCATATGAATTTTGGGGGGACACATCACATTCAGATCACAGCATGCATTTATTGAGATGATCATGTGTTATTTTATTTTATTCTATTGATGTGGTATGTTACATTAATTGATTATCAGATGTTAAACCATCCTTGCAATTGTGGGGTAAACTCACTTGGTCATGGTGTACAGTAACCCTTTCCATATGTTGCTGAATTTGCTTTGCTAAAATATTGTTGAGGATTTTTGTATCTGTATTCATGAGATATTGGTGGTTTTCTTTTGTGTGTGTGTGATATGTCTGTCGTCAGGATAATACTGGGCTTATAAAATAAGTCGGGAAGTTTTGCTTCCTCTTCTATTTTTTGGGGTTTGTTAAGAATTGGTATTAATTCTTTGAATGTTTGGTAGAATTCACCAGTAAAGGCATCTGAGCCTGAGGTTTTTTTCCTGGGAAGTTGTAAAATTACTGATTCAGTCTCTTTACTTGTTATAAGATTATTCAGATTTTCAATTTTTTTCTTAAGTCAGTGTTGCTAGTTTGTGTCTGTCTAGGAATATGTGCATTTCATCCAAGTTCTCTACTTTGTTGGCATATGGTTGTTCATGGTATTCCTTTATAAGATGCCTTATTTCTGTAGAGTTGGTTAATATACCCTTTTTCATTCCTGATTTTGATAATTTGAGTTTTTTATCCCCCCTTGGTCAGTCTAGCTGAAAGTTTGTCAGTTTTTGTTGATATTCTCCTAGAGCCAACTTTTGGTTTTGTTGATTTTTCTCCGTTTATTTTGTATCCTCTTTTTCACTGACTTCCACTATAATCATCCATTGTTTTTTTTCCTTTTTGTCCATTTATTGTTTTAAATCACCGTCACCAGAATATATTATATCATTCTTCCTTTCTCCTCTCCTTTCACGAGAAAGAGAGGCATTGGAGGCTCTGAACAGTCATAATTAGCCATGCAGAGTGTTCTGCTTCGTGGCTGAGACACACAGTTCTCCCTGTGGTCCAAAACAGAAAAAAGTCAACAACTTAATATATTTGTGTTTGACAGTACACATCGTATCTAACTGCCCAGGAGCTTGCCCTGTTAATCCTTAGTCTGAAATGTTAGTTTTGTTCTGGGGTGTGAATTGAAGTAGAGTTTCCCCTTTTGTGTCACAAATATTGTTAAGCATCTCCAATGTCAGGCAGTGTGCTAAACCTAACACCTTTCATGCAGTAGATTGAAATTGCTGGGTAAAAAAAACAGTATTTATAATAGACAGGAAAGAAGATAATGAATTTGCTAATTATTTCCTGCTAAACTTCGATTAAGTTAATAGTTTTACACTGTTTATATTACTTTGTGTGTTGGGGGGCGGTGATTAGGTTTGTTTATTTATTTTAATGGAGGTAACTGGGTAATTTTTTTAATTAAATTTTTTTTTAATTTTAAATTTTTGGGGGGAGCAAATAGAGTTTATTTATTATTTATTTATTTATTGGAAGTACTGGGGATTGAACCCAGGACCTTGGGCATTCTAAGGACGCACTCTACCTTTGAGCGCTATATTCTCCTCCATACTTTTTTTTTTGAAGAACAATGATTTAATGCATATTAGAGACTGGCACATTAGGGTGGCAGAAGCTAAAAAATGTAAGACTTGGATCCTGCCCTTTGGAATTCTCCATCTCTCTGGTGAGACAGAAAAGCCATAGCTTTGGGAGAAGTCAGGGAATCGCAGGTGGTGTGGGCCCCACTCCAGGGGGCATGTTGGCGTGTCAGTGCCAGAGTGAACGCTGAGGTCTGGGGCTGGCCCAGGAGGACGTGTGTTCACTCGGCAGTGTTTTCGAGCACATCAGTTATTCCTTAGTAGCGGTTCCCATCTTCACTCCACCACGACAGTTAGCAAAACGGGAGGTGCAGAAGCTGGTGGCTCGTAGCTGTTTACCCCCAGTCGTACTTACTTGCTTTCCTGTGGCCCAGAGTGGCACGTTCTGGAGTCTTTAGAGGCTGCCCAACGACTAGCATCTCAAATCACATTTTCTAAGAAGTATTATGGCACTGAAACGTTTTCACAGGCCGAAGGTCCTGTGGCAGTTTCTTGTGTTCCCAGGAGAACGCTCAGAGCCATCTTTGGAAGGCAGCAACCATCATTCAGACTGAGCTCACACCAGAGAGCCTGCCGGTTGGCTCTGGACACCCAGCGCAGGTGCTGGAAGGAGGGTCGGAATAGGAATGAAGAGTAACAAGCAAATAGGTTTGTCTAGCCTGGGAGATGGACTGAAATGGCATGTGTGCGGTCTTAAGTTTATTTATAAATATGTCCACGTGGGAGGAGGGTACAGTTCAGTGGTAGAGTGCGTGCTTAGCATGCACAAGGTCCTGGATTCGGTCCCCAGTACCTCTGCCAAATGAATTAATGAATGAATAAATAAACAAACAAATAAATAAATAAACCTTATTGCCTCCCTCGCCAAAAATTTAAAATCTTTTTGTTTTAAATGTCCACAGACACGTCTGGCAGATCAGGCTCACTGACTGTAGGACCCGTGGGTACTGTGACTTCAGGGCACTTGGAACTCAACACACAATCACGAGAGAGGTGTTTTGGTGGGAATCCAGCTAGAGGATGTAATTTTATACTAGCCCAAATTATCTTCTGTGCTTTCAGTTTTGATTAAAGTCCTTCACTTCCTGTTCTAGACCTGAATGCTGATACGTGCTGGAGAAATCTCCCATGTTCCGGGTCATCGGGTGGTTGCGTTTCCATGTGGACTTAATTTGTGTGCTGTTGGGTTGAGCGCTGTTGGTGCGTGGGGTTATGTCTGATGATCTGAGGCCTATAGCCAATGTTTATTTATGAGGCACTTAACTTTATAGAAAAAGGAAGTCAGTAACTGTCATCTTTATTTATAGCCCTCAGATTCATGTTTCAGTCTTGCCCACATATTGTCATTGTTCCGTATATTGCTGTCATGAATGTGCGAATACTATTTTAAATTTTTATACTTAATATTGATAATAATATTATATTATTTTTATACTTAATAATAATAATAATAACCTCAAACTCACTTACACATTTTTGTATAATATATCCAATTATATAAATGCCAGTCTTTACATTACAGAACGTGGAGGCTCTGGATCCACGAGGTCGAACCTTATTGCATCTTGCTGTTTCTCTGGGACATTTGGAATCTGCTAGAGTCTTGCTCCGACATAAAGCAGATGTTACGAAAGAAAATCGTGAGGGCTGGACAGGCAAGTATACTTGTCAAAAATAAATGTAAAGCCTTTCATTTTGTTTTCTCTTTCTGAATAAGGGCCAGTCTCAATCCTCATTGTGCTCAGAGTCATCTTTATCTTAAGGCTCTTTCTCTCTTGGGACTTGGCGCCAGGCGAGGAGATGAGAGCCTCAGATGCTGCTGGCTGAGCGGCAGCACAATGGTCCCAATTGTGTCCTGGGCCAAAAGCCCTGGGTAGAGGGTGACTCCTCATCCAGAAAGCGGCTCTCAGTGCCACATACGTGAACGTGGAGGCCAGACTCCCCCTGAGGAATGTGATGGTAACTCCAGCGAGTCCATCACGATGAACACAATGAAAAAGAAATTATGGCTGAAAGTAGTAGCCTTTTCCAGTGCAATCCTGGCACTTCACTTTCTGCAAGCTCTCGTACTATTGGTCAGAGTAATTCTGAGTTGACTGAGCAAGGATCCACACAGTCCAAGCCCTGCCTGCCTACCTCCACGCAACCACAGGTTTGTGATCACTCAGCTAAAGCCAGCTCTCTGAAGACACCGTTGGGATTTCAAAGCCAGTGCTAAGAAAGAGGGGAAAGGGAAGGAAGGGTTGATCAAGAGGCTGAGTGCTCTGTTTTCTTTTCTTCTCACTCAGTTATGAGCAAGAAATAAATAGTCATGGTCGTAAAGATAAGATGGGACTACAGCCTCTGTCCCGCTTTGAAGAAAATGCTGGCCTTTGGTCCATATAGATGACTTTTCAAACTGGCTTTGGAGTTTGTCAGAAAGTATGAGAATACTGGGTGATCAAATTTCACCTATTTGCCTTCCAGTTTTACACGAGGCTGTGAGCACGGGCGATCCCGAGATGGTGTACACGGTTCTTCAACACCGAGACTACCACAACACATCCATGGCCCTTGAGGGAGTTCCCGAGCTGCTCCGAAAAATTCTCGAGGTATCCATAAAAATTGACAATGCCATAATTTGAGTTAGATGCTGACACAGCAGCCGGAGACAAAGTTTGACATCTGTGTGTGCCTTCCTAAAGAGTTTCATGAATGGTGAACGTGACATCGCATACTGAAGAGCGTTGTTCCTGGCTTTTCCATCTTGTTCAAATGTA